ATTAGTCAATTCAGGTACTAGATAATCATCTAGTAAACTAAGTAGTCATCTACAGTACTTGGCAATTAAGTAGTCAACTAAAGTACCAATCACTAGCAACTCATACTACGGAAGGAAAAAACTGATAAGTTCGAACAACTCGGAGGATGGTATGATGGTTTAGTAATATCGATTTAGAATATGTATCTCGTCGTTTAGTCTTCTTTTATTACATGATTCCGTATGCACAGATACATTAAAAACGGTATCGCACAATGATTTACATCCCTGGATTCAGAACCGGTCCACGCGACTCCAGGACAACGTTTCTGAAAGCGTCGCGCAAGCATCGGTCTCTGATAAGATCGGATGGAAGTTTCTATGCGTGATCAGAAACCATTGTCCTTTTCTTAGGGGGTAAGTTTCCATCCCCGTCCGCCCCCGCGCCATTCGTAAGGCTCCTTTCCCTTAATTTTACGGTGTAAACATGCTATCAAGATGTCAGTATAAAAGTGAAACGATCTAGGCATCCGAGACAGGCTATGATTTCTTGCAACTTATTTTGAGCCGGTGAGTCTTCTCTCTAAAAGAAACTGTACAGTTAAAATTAGAATTTAAGAAGAGTTTGAGAAGGTGTGAACATGTACTTTCATTGAAATTTAATCAATCCGTACGCACCGTTGGTAACTTTGGAGAAATTGGAATTTAAATTACTAAGTTACAGCGTCGACAAATTAGTTATTTAATAATATTTACAACACCAATGAATTAATTGTTAAAGAAGGTACAACTTCAAGGAGATTCGATAAATTACAACTCGAAAAAATAAAAAATTTAATAAGTACCAACTGTGAAAATTGATTTCGCATAAAAAAAACATAATAGTCAAGAAAGTTACCATAAACATTTGCAGAGTTTGCAATTTCAATTGTAAACATTTAGAAAGAAGAAACTCATGAACACGATGATTACGTAAATTATTAAAAACTCAATACAATAAAATCGAACAAGTTTCGCTAATAGCTCCAAACAAACTTAAAACCTAGAAATAATTAATAACTATTAAAATTCATCATTTTCTACAGACACAATTTTCAGCAAACTCTCGAGTCCCACCGACTCAAGGATAAGACCAATTTATCACCGAGAGGCGAACGGGGCGCGTCGAATGACTCGGTATGTAATCCCATTAAAAAACAATCAGCCTTTTTGTAGTCGATAGAAAATTGTCCCCTGTGGAAATACAATATGGCATTTCGGTCTGCACGGTTTTTCTTTTCTTACACAAAGGGTTACGACATAGACATACAGTCCCGACGGACGATTCAAAGATGGCGGAGCCCGATCACTTAGCTGCCTGTACCGTTTTATTATTTTTCTACGTTCGTATTTTTATTGAAAAATATACAAAAGACCATCGGACTGTATCGCGACCTTTGAACCGTCCAAAATATTTTCTCGAGTGAAACGCTCTCCCTTTTCCATTTATTCCTCACCTTTTTACATGAGATACCTAACGCCCTCTAAACGTTTGCAGGCTGTCCCAAAAGTGTCCACGTGGATCTCAAAATCGTTCTCTACAATGTTCTTTTTACAATTCTCGGTAGAAAGACCACGTGACTTTTGGAAAAACCTACAAAGTGCACTGCGGCGAGTGACCTCCGGCTCGAGACCCGACCCAGCAAACTTAGCTAGCTCTTAGCGCGACTATTTTACAAAAACGTACGCCCTCTATGGTTCAGAATGTTTTCAGAAGGTCGATCAACGCCACGCTAAATCGTAGAAAAATGAAAACGCGGTTCACAAACAGCCACGGTTGCGAGTGTAGAATTCATTACTAGACAACAGATCTTTATGCAAATTGCAATTTTGAAAAATATCATTGGGAACATAAAATTACAATAGAAAAAGGCTTTTCGTGATGGATGTTATAGAAAACACTATATTTAGAATATTTTATATATTTCTTTCTATCCTGTGCACTTTTGGGTGGTTTTGCAATTATAAATTTTCCATGAATGCATAAAAATCCGAAGTCTGTTTATTACTTTTTGTTCGACAGCGACACGCCGACCACTCACGAGTATCAAAATTTTCATGTGTTGTGTGCCAAGATTTCGATCAATCAAAGCATTGCTGAGGCCTGAACGAAGTTTTAATTGTTTCAGTTGGACTTATTGTTAGGTCTCGTTCTAATCAGAGAAATTTAATTTGTGGGAAACTATATTTCTTCGAGTAACATCCCTGTCCTTTAATCGTTCTTTCGAATATCTCGTTGTATAGATAACAGACTGTAAACGATTGTTTCAGTTTCATTAACATATGAATAATTCGAAACTGATTCTCAACTAATTAGAATACATGTGAAATTATCTGAAGTGAGATGAAGTTTATCAGAAAACTGATAATAAAATCTAGAAATATTGTTTTCGTCGATATAAATATTAGCTGAAACAAAATTTTACAAGAACACTGTAATATTTTATTACGCCCCAATTTTCGAATAACTGATCAAGGAAAACCAACTGAAATCCATGCACAAAGCAGAATTTAGCAGTACATAAACATATATGTACAATCTCAAAAATCCATGAACAGAATAAATTCACTAAAATTGTGCTAATTACACAATATCACAAATATAATTTTCCAATTTTCACTTAAAACAAGTATCATACAAAATCTGATAAAACTGCCGTGAATCTATGCGAAAATACAGTAATGTGTTCTAAATAAGATATTTAAAAAATGACAAAAAACAATAATTCAAAAATGTGAATACGATTAGAAAATACTTTGGTCAAATCACCATGAACGAGCTCTATGAACCAATGGACGAAGACAATAATTTATTTGCGCAGAAAACGGAAATTGGGGAAAATACAATTCACAATGGCAGCGGGAACAACTGATAATGGAAGCCTTTCAATCAGCACAAGTCGATTTTGATGAAATTTATATGACACATAGTACTGAAGAGAATATTTCACACATGTTTCTTCTCATCAGCCAACATTCATTTTGAACGAGTGAAAACGCCCTTCAAATTTAAGGGCTGAAAATAGATTTTTTATAATATTACTGAACCTTTAGGGTATAGAAAAGAAATTCTTTCTTCCAATGGAATGAATTAAAATGAACAATTATTTGTACAATGAATATGTTTTGAAAACCATTTTTTAAAAATAATATTCCTCAAACTTCAATGTCTTTTGAACTGTTTATTCATTTCTCTTATTAAATATTGTTCTATTGTCATGTAAATCTATATGTGAACATTATGGATCAAAAAAGGGATACTTGTTTGTGCAATTATATTTGCCTACCATTTAACTCCTTAAGAACGAAGGTTCTTTGAAATGTACAAAACCTTCGGCAGATGAAGTTAAATTATATATTAATTGCTTAATCAACAGAAAAAAAGGAAATTAGGTACTGATCTCTTAGTGATTCATTAATTAAATCATTTGCCGGCGTTTTAGTCTTCCAAATACGAAAATTGGATCTCGCTGAAATATCGCCATTTGTCAGCAAAGGGTTAATCATGATTATTGGATGTACGATTTTCTTTAACTTCATCTTCTTCAACTTTGGTAAACGAAATTCTTCATTTCGAGGAGAACAATTTAAAAAAGAATTCTTTTCTACACCATCTAGTCTCCAGATATTATAAACTATATATCTCAACCCCGAACTTCGAGGTGTGTTTTCACTCCTTCAATTCCTTGCTTCATGATACTTTTCACAACTATGATCGATGCAACAACTTTATCAACAATAATTTATCGAAGAAAGAGAGGAATTCTATGCATATTCAACATCTACATTTGCCCTACATATAATAATTTACAACACAAGGATCATATATCTCCTTTAAATTCACAAGAATTCAGTAATATTTATATTTCTTAAATTCTATTTAAAATGTTCGTCATGAATCTCGCACGTTATAAGGCAAAGGGTTAAAATGGACGTCGATAAGAAAAAATACGTGTCAAATATTTGTTTAAGAAATATGTTTCATAGAACTTTCATCAAAATCGATGTGTACTGGTTGAAGAGGTTCTTTTGTGAGATACATTAAACAGGATTTCATTAATTAACAATGATCATGCTCGCGTGCGTTCCGGGATAAAAGAAAAGGCCCATATCGAAATCTTAAAACTCCAGTTTAAGAGATTCTCAATGATTCGATTGCAAAAATTTGGCACGGTCTGCTGTGTAAAAATATTATTCGCGTTGTTCTCTTTCTCTCTTTCTCTCTCACACGCACACACTCTATCACTCTCTCTACAGTTTTACTCGTACGCGGATTCTTTTTTTACCCCTGCCCTTCGTAATTCGTACACCTTAACGTACAGCGACACTACAATGAAAATGCATAAAATACTCTTCGATCGGTATAAACGCACTCTCGTCATCGACGAACATTAAGAATATTTTTTTCCCCGCCATTTTCTCTCATCCACCATTTTCATCGAAATCCCTTCGAACACGTTCAAGGTCATCGAGTCACGGTTCAACGTACCGCACTGGGATCCATTCAACGTAGAAATTAATTCTCTGCCCGGTTCATTAATCACTTACAAATCGATTTCAACCATTTAATTCGAATATATTAATTGTATTACAATTTGAAATTTTCTAGTTTCATTAGGATATCTTCGAAACTCGAATTTATATACTTGAATATTTAGAGAATTGGAAAATGTAATTGATGGTTTGTAGATTTTAAATACACGTTGGAAGGGCACTGAATTAATTTCTACAATCAATGTTTCTCATATTAAAATATTAAATTAAATCGTCCAATAGTGTTTTTTGTACATGAAATATATAGTTCAGTAAATATTTTGCGATCACGAATCAGTATCATCGAATAAATTGGTTTACAATATATGTACAACGTTTATGAAGTTTTTATTCATTTAGCC